AATGTCAATTGCTTCTACTAAGAACTTTAGTTTATTTGATAAAAAAGTTTACTAAGGGCCGATTTTTCAATAATAATCATTTGATTTTTGACTGTAGAATAAAATTGACATTCGCCGATTGTTAGTATGGAAGAATTGGCAAACATTCAAGTTATTCTTGAGTTAAGAAAAATCGACCCTTTATTAGCTAGCTCTTTACTTAATTAACTATTCTGATCTTCCTTTCCAATGTCATTGTGATAGAGCTCAAAATGCAATGTATTCATAGGAGGAGGTTTGTGTACACTCCCAAAAATTTGGCCTTGGTATGAGAAACTGCAGAACATAGGTACTATTCCCGTTTCCTATGGTCCATTGTCTATTAACAAATAACATGGTTTAAAGGCATAGAGTCAAGGCCGCGGCCTCCGTACGTAGGCGGGTTCCGCACCTATTGTTATATTGGATACACTATTATTGACTATTTCACCATTCTCCAATATTTGGATTTACTACTTTGTCATAACTACTTTAATCTTTGCGAAGTTTGACACGAACCACTAAAGAACTTCCTTGTAAATCTGTTTGTACTCTTGTTGCCTTATATTTTTCCTAAAACTAAAACTTTAATGAGTGAATTTTACTTTCTGTTTGAATTAACATTCGAGATCAACAAAATTATTTTATATGACAAACTATTTAAGACTTCTTAAATAGCTATTCGTGTCAAGTTAATTACACCTAATCCTAATGACTAAAACTATTAAAAAGTTATCATTCAACAGAATCTATTTGCTTATAAATTCAACTAGTTGTTTGGTAATTTAACACTTAGGAAAATGCGTATTAAAAATAACTTAAAAAACTTTGGAAAAAATCTTTTAAAGAAACTTAAACATAACGTGTTCTTCAACAATTGGGTAGTTTCCAGAGTATCAAAATTAAAAATCTAATTAGTCCGTCAGTTAGATAATGAAAAAATATTAATTAGACACGTATTTATTTATTTTCTCGTAATAAGTTGCAATACTTAGATAAAATGGCGCTAAGTTTAGGAGTGGGAGGTCGTTACGTAATAACGTGCTACAAAATGTGGCACGCTGTGACGTCACACGATATTTTAAATTAATATATCGTCGAAATTATTTAATTTTGTGCGAAAAGAAAAAATACGTGTCTAAAGTTTTAAATTAATGTACGAGACGGACATTACAATAAAATTTAGGAAACTACCCTATTTCTTTACAGCTACGAATTTTGTTATCCAGGTAGATACAATACCTGCTTTAAAATAATGTCAATTATATAGATACCTACATACTATTAGTATCTATCTATCTGTCCTCTGTCCTCTGTCAGTCTCAGAAGAATGTGTGAATTTGCATTACAATTATCATTCAAGTGCCAAGCAAAGACAAACGTGACGTTCCTACGAAGTCCAGCCTTGGAACAAACATGTCAATCACGTTCTGAACAATATTTTATCTGTTTTTTGATACTAGTAATATGTTATCTATGTTAAATTTACAGATAATAGTGAAACGTGAGAGAATTCTTAGTTAATGGTGTGGTAATTATAGATTAATTGATTAGATGCTGCATTCTAGGTATATTGTGCAAGATTACTACGATGAAATGAGTATGTAACGCATTAGGAACTGTAAATAGGTGCCTTATAACTTTTTTTTATGTCTTCACTCTCAAAAGGGCTACTAATTATATTTTCTAAAGAAATTATTGTAGATTAAGCTCTAGAAGATTGAATATATCTACGTCCTCGTTTATAGTTAAAAAACCAATATGAACCAAAACAAGCAGTGACCGAAATTAAAATCTTTACTCATCACAACATTCTCACTCTTGAATTCCATCATAATTATTTGTAAACAAATCAAGACGAATCAACGTCTGTATTCCAATTTCAAATTTCAATTCCAACCAGCCAGTTTTCACTACCACAGACAATTATCGCGAAAGTCAGCAACAATTAAGCAAAGGAACACAGTTTACGGCCAATTAATATGCGACCATAGACTATTAATTTAAAAATTGTGTATCACGTTTGGCCTAGACCTAAGGACTACAAAAATAGGGGTCTATATAGCCTCGAAGTCTTTATAAAGAATATGGTGGTATGGCTTGAATATATGAAATTTAATTAAGGCCTCCACTTTCGAATGCGGCTGGGTCAACGGAAGCGGCAGTGGAGATCTTGAATTAAAAGGTTCAAGGTGTGACATCGTGGGTGTGGCATTGAGAGACTTTGTTGTGCCAGTATAAATGTAGGAGAGAGTTAAATAACATATTGTTCCCAAAATATAGAATTTTAGGAGATTTCTTTTTACTATCCGCATTGTTATAGACTGGTGTTTACTGAGAGAATAAGTAAATAGAAACGTCTAGTTTTCAGAACGTACAACACCAAATTGAAATGCATTTAATGTAACTTTAGCTAATTTAATTTTGTTTGAGAGAAAGATTCTAAATATACTTCTGAATGTTAAGTTAGGCAAGGCAAGGCAAGTTAAGGCAAAATATGGAGAAACTATAAACCTTGTTAACACCTATATATTATGTACCCATGTTTGCAAATGATTAAATGAATATGAATATGAATGTTTTCTGAATGAAAAATAACTTCTTTCTTCTTAATGACCATTGGAATCTTTTTATAGGGTACATACTTATCTCAATAACGACGCTGAAACTTCGCTCTTAACAGGCGCCTCTTATGACCAGTCAACCACCAAGACCGTAAAACATTGAGCTCATAAAACTACACTGTGATGGTATCACTGACATACAAGACATAATATTTGCTTTATATGAGCTATAAATCATTATACAATAAAAACAAAACTTTTGCAAAGTGATAGATCGTAAGCAATCATAAAACAACTAGGTAATTGCTAGGAACGCTCATTTTAAGCCCTCATCTATACAGATAAATAAAATTGGAGCGTCTGTTTACACTATTGAAACGACCGCTTTTTACTACATGCATAATATGAATATACATACGAAACATATACCAAATTAAACTTTTTAAAAAAATTGTCTATTTATAATGGCTTATCTCTGAAATGGCTGGATCGATTTTGACGGGACTTTTATTGGCTGGACGCGAACAGGCGAACATCTCTTATCACTCTTAGTGTCGAACACGATCTATGAAGACAACCACTCTACATAAAGAACGAATAAAGGTCTCGATACCGACCTAAAGCTAGTGTGTAAAGAAGTCAGTAGCGAAATGTACACTGAACGTAAGTTAACCCATGAACACATCTCTCAAACGTTTCTAAAGAAAATCTTCAATTTCTAAACACGTTCTAAAACTAGAGAGCCTGTCATTACAGAATATATAATATGTATGTAAGTATTTTTTTTTTTAAGGGGGGAAAATCATCGAATGTCTGCTCCCGCCTGGGTGAGGCGGAGGGAGTGTCAGACTCTTACTGACTAAAAACCACCCCGTTCCTTCTCCTGCACGTCGAGCCGGAGCCCCGGTTACCCGTTAGGTTCTCCGCGACTCCGAATCGGCATCGACCCTATTGGGCCCCATCTGTGGTGGTCTGATGGCTCTTTGAGGCGCGCGCGGAACGCGACGCGCCGTAGTAAGTATAGATTCATATGTAACTAAAGCAGTGAGTAACCCAGATGTTTCAGTTCTTGTAAATGCAGACCATTATTGTTCTCAACTCACAGTTACAACTTTACCGTACGACTACTGACCAGACAACATTCCACACAAATATAAACTTTAATTACACAGCCATAAAACCGTCAATTCCGCAACAGTGTCAAGCTATATGCCCTGGACACACGCAATTTTACACCCTGCTTCAGTATTTATAGAATTCAATATCGTTTAGTAAAGATTATGGTTATTAATGCACCATAGCTATAAAGTATATACAATTAGATAAAACAAAGTAAACCGTTTGAGTGAATTTCTCGGATGCTGGTCATCCATAGTAATGAGGTGGTTATTAGTTATTTAGTTCAAGACATGAGTATAAAAACCATAACAATGTTCAGGTAGCATAGTTATAGCTGTAGCTATTTTTAATTACATTTTGTTCATTTCATTACACTTTAGTACAATCTTTGTGGATCATCTTGCGATGCACGTCAGGTGATACGAACAAATTCTAGGAATGTAACGTAATTCAACATCATTATGGTCTTCTATAAAATAACTGTAGCATATATTTTAAATACTTTAAAGCACATTAGGCACACATATTTAAGAAAACACCATAAACGAAGTACTTCACCAACTTGATGATTTTATGACCCGAAGGACCAAAAAAGACCAAAACTTCAGAAACACTAATAGAAGCTCCATTGATAAAAAAAAAACAATAATTTTATGAACATTATTTATCATACAAACAGTTATTTCGATAAATCAATACTTTGTTTATTTGTGTGCTCATTAATTTTAAGTTTAATCAACGTCCAAGGTTCAAACGATGACTAATACCAATAAATATCGGATTAGGCTTGTGAATGGCGCAAAATGGGCACATGACCAACTCCTTTGTAATTGTAAGTATGCAATAACTAAACACATTCTAGATCTACACTCGTATTATAGATGGCCTTGTCAACGAACAAAATACTACATTGGTTTAATCTTCAATTGCTAATGCGTATCACATAAACCTGTCTGCAAATACAGTAGTTAAACACCTTCGTAAATAGGAATAAGTCAATCTTTCGCAAATCTTTGCAAACATTCTAGAATTTATAGCGATATTTCTTTTAATCATCAATGAGTAACATCCAAAAAAATGTCCTTAAACGTTTCGGATGTTACGTTTAGAGCCTTCATTTACCTGGACGTAGACCTACGTAAATGATATTATTAGGGTCTACTATCATTGTTCCCGGTAAAATATCTGAAGGCTCTCTATACGGAGTCCTTTATTCCTAAAAATGTTGAACCAGCATCTCGTGATAGACAAGTGAGTTGTAAAGTCAGCTTTATCAACATAAAAGTAATGAGTTCTTACCTGAAGGTGGTCGTTCCTTGGGGTAGCAAATACGGAAGAGACCCCGCGTCCTCGTGTAGAAGTAATATTTGTTGTTGAGACTATCCAGAATCGTCTGTGAGTTGCCCGCTGCGTTCTCCGCTGCATAATTCTAGAACAATAAGAAAATGAGGTATAATAAAATATGTATATCAATTGCTACTTTAGGCTACAAAACTTGTTTTATATTGGTCTTTCGAAAAACAAAACACAATCGTTGACACAAAGAAAATGAAACGGTATAGAATAACATTGATATCGTTAAGTCAGTAAGCTCAATACATTGTATAATTAAAATGCGATTTTAAGACTCCGCCTAACGGCCACAATAGCCCGCAGTCGAGCGGTAGTCAGCCACGTAATTATATGAAACTGGTCGTGGACCGCATTCCTCTCGAGGCCTCCAAGGACCGAAGGCCGGAACGGATTGATTACCTTCAAGGGCATTCGAGGACCTCATTTGGGAAAAAGGACTCGATTTGTAGTAAAAATATTCTGGTCTTTCTTATGCTTGGGAATTTAAAGACATTCTTTCATAACTATCTTGTAAAGTAGGCTTATCAAGAATTTCGGATATTTTTGCCCTTTCCCGTTTTACAACTTTTTAGTTTTATCGTCTTCTTTCAAATAATAATTAACTATGAACGCGTGCATTGTCCTGTTACAGTACAATCTCAGAAAGTAATTGTTATTATAGCACCTACACACGGTATAATTCTCAGAATTAACAATTAACAAGCAATTATCTGACCATGTTTATTGTTTATGTTCGAAGTATTATCCTGGTAATACTTCACACAGACACAGACATTATTGTGCAAATATATAAGATTTTATTTACAAACCAGAGGTTGCTATTGCTAAGAAACTAAAGGTCTTTTCCACCAACCCCAAAACCATCTCTTAACTAAAAGATAAGCGTGACGTAACACTTAAACCAACCCCTTACTTGTAGTGTTTTGTGTCACTTATTGGTTGGTTAAAACCACAATGACCTTAACTGCTACCTACCTTAGGTTAGGGGCTTCTTAAAATTTATGAGAAGTTGGACGAAATAGGCGCATGCTATTTATAACTTTCAAACAAATTCCCAGTACTGATATCACTATTGCCGCGCCTTTAAATGTACACGGAATGATTTAGCTCATTAGAAAGTAGATATGGACGGACAGAAAGACGCCTTGATGTTCCTAACACGGTTAAACTTACAAGACAAGTGTTCAGCCTTAACAAACATTTGCTTTTAAATGAACACTAAGGGGATCGTTTATGCTAAACACCTCCGGCGATCTAAGTGCTTAGTAATTGCTAAGTTTGCAGCTGTGAAACTGTCATGTTAATACACATAAGCCTATAATACAAGTTATAAACTACTTGTATTTAATCTTGGCCTTTCATATATGAATCATGTTTACTACAAAACTGACTAAGAAAGAAACTATGTAGCTACATATTTTAGTCGTCGTAAACAGGGGCAATTTTTTCACTCGTAGTATAACAAGCAATAGTTGGTGATATAGATACTATTATTGCACTTGAATAGGTTCTATTACAAAAAGGTCGGTAGCCAAAGGACCAAGCAGAATCACCGGTAACTAAACATCAAATATTGAAGTGAATGGTTGAAAAGTAGTCTACAACAATAGCTATTGTAAAGAAAGATATTGTGTCCAGTTATCTATTAAGACAAGCTTCGCATAATGTTATCAAGTTGTAGTACAAAGGGTTTAGTATGAATTTGTTTAAGGTTTAACGAAAATGAAAACCTCTGGTTGGCTGTTTCATTGGAGCCGGCCAGTCAGAGAGCCAAATGCAGTCTCGTTTCGATTTTGTTAAAAGTATACCAGACTCGAACTACGCCCCCAGAGCCTTCCAAACAGCTTTGTCATCGACATTCCAGTTATAAAGCGGATGCCAGCCGTGAGAAACGCGGATCCAAAGGTATTACAAATCCCGTCCTTATTCTGAGTATGAAACATGACTAGAATCTATTATTTTATTCCATTTCTATTAATATAGTCATTATTATTTTGAAATTGATAGTAGGTAAATTTTGTTTCCTTTGTAAAAATTAATGTATGTAGCAAAATTGATCTATAGGCTATGCTTCCATTCCAATCAAGAAAGAAATTTTTAAGCACTTGCGACATAATATACAAAATAATTATGTTTTTCTTCGGTCAGGGAATACCCTTGTGAATGCACAATCATTACCCATAAAATAATACATAATACGTAAACTATCAAAGACATAGCTGTATAATTCTATAATACAGTTAAATAGAATTAAAAAAAAATAAGAATGAGTGGTTTTTTTCACAAGTTTCTTTGAGTTTCGTAGTTCCTTTGACACTGATAGCTGTCCGGTTTTCACGTAAACCGGATTGCGCTGTTAGTCGAGAAACAAGTGACTCATTTGATATTTAAAGGAAAAAAATCGATGCTGTCATAAAAATATTATTATTTTATCTTTCTTTTTTTGAGCTCAAGCTTGGCGTCTCTGAGATAACCTCTCGACAAAGGTCAACGTGTCTCTAAGCTTTACTAAAAGGACCAGTATCACAAAACTTGGTCCATTTTCATCCTTTCTCTTAGAGTGAGTATTATTAAACAAAAAACAAAACACACACCAATCAAATAGATTCATAACATCATTAAACAAAACATTATCTATAAAATATCTAAGTAATTAAAAACAGACAGAAAAAACTAGCCACCAAGTGTACAGCTGCTAGCTACTATACTCTATAATGCATGCTATTACGGCTTTCTTTATAAAATCACGAGACAATGCAGTGTAGAAAAACATCAACAATGATAGCCCATCAGATGGTGCATTCCATCAAACCGGTTGTAATGACTTCCCGGTGGAAGAGATGAGAGGAAAGAGGCGCCAACGTCATCATTCTTGAGAAAAACGGCTATGATAATGCATTGACATTAATACTGACAATTGACATTGTGTTTATGAGAACTGTTAAGTGATTAAATTGCATTTTTTTTATTTAAGGTTTAATTGTTTAAGAAGTTAAACATTGTTATTTGTATGTCTAGTGGATAGAAGGACCAACTAGATCAAGTAGATATATATTTTTTTACGATTTATGTACTTTAATCTCTTTTCAAGTCTTAGGTTCAAATATTTTGTGAATATATATTTTTCACAAGTCAGAAAATATATGAACAAAACATACCGAATACCTACCAAATTTAAAATTTTATCTCAATTTTTTCGAAAATATTTTTGTAAGTTTCCAATGTGACCTAATTAATTTGTTTATCGATATTTAGGTAAAGCAATTAGTGTTGGTTTTTTTTATTTACTGATGGCTTGATGAGTTCCGTGATTCAACAATTAAGTTCAACTCTTAAATATTTGCATGGCCAACAAAATCTAAATCAAATAGTTTTTCCTGTCCAACTAGTCGTGAAAGTTGGTTGTTTGTATGTTTTATTAACTGATCGTCAGTTGTGTACTATTGTCATAACTACTCACGTCCCTGATTCAGTTCTCTGGTAGACATTGAATACCAGAATAACACAGGTAAACAGTAGTGGCATGCATATACTTACTATTAGGTTTCTTTTATGAGGGGAAAATCATCGATAGTCTTCTATTGCCTGGGTGAGGTGGGAGGGTGTGTTAGACTCTTACTGACTAAAAACCACCCCGTTACTACCCTTGCCCTTCGAGCCTAGCCCCAGCAACCCGTTAAGTCCTCCGCGGCTCCGTATCGGCATCAGCCCTATTGGGCCCTATCTGACTATTAGGTATATAGGTGCCTTCTCTATAATATTAAGGCTTCTACCAAAATAATTTCGGCAGATAGAAAAAAATATTGCAGGCTATATTATCGGAAGATTTACTCACTAAAGATAGAATTAGACACGTGTCGTATAGAGCTTATGTCCAATACTATTTCTAGACAAATCTACAAACATATAAGTTGTTGAAACTGACAGTAAAACAGCTATTCCTAAAGTTATTCAAGTATTGGCACATGGATTTAAATATTTTATCAATGAGAATTCAAATAATATTGGGCATATTATACTCAAAGTACGTAAAAGGCAACTCGTTTTGTGGCAATCGCCGAATTTAGTACACTGGTATTTTAATTACTACGAATTTCAAACTGGGTTAAGTAAATCCAGTTTTCCAAGTTTTTGTTAAAATATTTGATCATAAGTATAACTGTGTCAGCGTGAGAGGTACATACAGTCTCCTTTAAAAAATGGTCCTTTAACAGCAAGTGTTCATCGGCGTATACCGGTATACCTTATATGCCATAAATGCTCAAATTAAGCATTAAATTAAAGGTGATATATCTTATTCATCTACTTAATGAAAGGACATTTAGATACTGAGTACCTAAAACATATTTTCATTACGAAATGAAAAACCAATTTCTCAAAATCTAAATTATGCTTGTTGCTTGCAGAACCTCGTTTAATTTCTATAAAATGAGTTATCAAGATGTTATCATCGGTCTAATCCCGTCCCACTACGTGTAATGAGAGATCATTAGGTTTTTGCTAGACACTAGCCTCAAGATCATCAGAGCGATCAATCGACGGAGCGAAACGTTTCTTCAACTCGACTAGAGTTCATCGATCGATGTTTTTATCGAGTCAACTAAGCTATCCGATTACGATTATCGATGGGAAAGTGCTATGAAAGTTTATATTTTATTACAGTGTCAATGTTGGGTATGGCGGGAGAAATTTGATGTGTATGTAATAAATCCTGGGGAATTTATTTATTGAATGGTGAGTGGGTAACGTCGTGGTGGCCCGGATGTTTAAGACGCCCACTTCTCATGCATGAGGGTGCGGGTTCGAAACCTACCAACGGCAAGTACCAATGTGACTTTTTCCGAGTTATATGTACTTTCTGAGATTATTTAGACACCACTGACAAACGGTGAAGGAATAACATCGTGAGGAAACCTGGACTTATAATTTCTAATTATAAGTTTGAAATCGCCAACCCGCATTGAGCAAGCGTGGTGATTAATGCTCTAACCTTCTCCGTGTGAGAAGAGGCTTTGCTCAGCAGTGGGCATATATAGGCTGTTGATGATGATGATGATGATGAATATATAGTTTTAT